TTGTGCATTAACCACAAAACAGCTTTGACCTGTTTGAAAAAGTCTGGATATAGAAAAAAGCTAGATATTTGTGTACCACAGGAGCTCACTGAAAGAAACCGAATGAATTGTGTACTCATTTGCAATTATCCATTGAAAAATAATGAAACAACCATTTTAAAAAATATTAGTCACTGGTGAAAGTTGGATCACCTTCTAGAAGAACGTGCAAAAAAGATCATGGCAAAGGGTACTCCAGCTCCACAGACTCTAGCGAAACCCGAATTAACACGCAATCAGACGATGCTGTTTGTATGGTGGGATTTGGAGGGTTTTTTTTTTATAGAATAGGCTGACAAACGAGCACACAGTCCACCTGATGGTAAGTGGTTGCTGCGGCCCATAGACATCTACATCTATCTTCCATTACAAATCAAAATGCAGATGCGTTGTCACCCGTGAGGACTGAGATGGAATGCCTCATTTCCAGTAAAAAGGGTCTCCGGTTCTCTACACTCACCATACGAAATATAGCAGCATTAAGCTACTATTTCACGCTGGTATTCTGTGAGAGCGTGGTCCTTCTCCGGTCGAGTCGACCCATTCGTGCTACAACTATACTATTAATATAACTGCAGCATGGCTCTACCAGGTAATCGTAATCGTTTATTATGAGCTTTTATCGCCAGGCAAAACAATCGATTCAGATCTCTAATGCCAACAACTAATGAGGCTCAAGCAAGAAATTGAGAAAAAAAATGACAGGAATTGATCAACAGGAAAGGAGTTCATAATGATAACGCCGGACCACACACATCTTTGGTCACTCCACAAACATTGAGAAAGCTTGTTTGGGAAAGGTTAATGCTGAAGGCATTATAGTTGTCATATTGTTCTTACCTTATACACTCAGATTTTCATCTGTTTCGCTCTCTTCATAATTTTTGGGTAGTATTTAGTTAACATTAAGGAAGGACTGTCATAATTACTTGTTGGCTTTTTTGGTCAAAAATCCCAAGATTTCTGCAGCGACGTGATTATGTTACCACCTTCAAGGTCGCAACAATTTTTCGAACAAAATGGCACATATAACATGTTGTAATAAAATGTAATTAAACTTTGAAAATTAGACTACATACAAAAATATCTTGAATCTGAATGTTAAATACAAATAAACTTTTTGCCCGACCGTATTATATAAATTTAGTATAGCCAAAATTTCTATTTTGTTTATTTTTAATATAAGATCAAAGACTTACGGACTTTTAATTTATATGATTCAGATATTTCATGTGGGTTTTATGAAGTTCCTTTGCCAGTTTTTTTCTCTGTTTCGTAAAAACTACTGCAGACAAAGGTAAAATTCTAGTGTAAGGGTAAAGTTTTAAACGTTAAACGTTGGAAATTCACAAGTTCTATTTTATATAAGTTTTTTTGATGGGACGCCAGAGCCACTGGAATATTGCTGCCTATTTTAATTTTCTACGAAGGAAGTTTATAATTTATTTACGTTTTTACTTGATAACATTTTGAAGAGGCGAGCGAAAATTAAATGAAACTCGCATCAAAGAGCAATATTTTTTTATAAATTTCAAGTATACTCGTTTAAGGAATACATTTTTAATATATTCCTTAAACGTGTATACTTGAATTGTGTATAATTATTGTCATATATTATATTACCGTTATAAAAAGGTATGTCTTTATATCTTATATATTGTACGGTGATTTTTTGTAGCCCTTAATTTGCAGTAAGGGGATAGTCATCAAATAAATTAATTTAATTTAATTTGCCCTATATTAAGAGGATATCTTTGCAGAGAAATTTAGTCCTCAGAGGTGATAACGCATCTTCCTTGTTGGAAAATGGTTGCAGGTGTCATTGAGTTGCAGTATTTTAACCACTTCCTATTTGTTGAACTGTAAACTGGCTTTTCATTATGTGAAAAAAAATAGTGAAGGATAAGTTTTTAACGATCTGTTATTGTCTTGCTGTATATTTAATGTTTGTTAAAATTGTTTGTTGGATGTATAATAATGGCGGTATTATTGGCCAGTTTTAGCTATTTCAAAAGGATCATAGTTTTTAATAACTAAAGAAATAATGAATCATAAGGATAAAGCTGTGGTAGATAAGGATTCTATCGTTCAAAACATTTATTCTAAAAATCTATTCTATTCTATTCTTTGGTTCCAGTGGAATTATTAAGGGGAAAAAATAGAAATATGTTTAAATGAACTAAGCGCCGCCTAGATAGCCTTAAATTTTGTGTAATTTTTAATCTTTTCATAAGAAAAGATTTTCTAAGTATCCTTCTAAGGACTTACTTATATCGATCCTTAGAAGTCTACTAACGGACATGAGAAAATATCCCCCCTATGAGGCCTTATAAAGAATGCCTATGTCCAGCAGTGGACTTTACTCGTAATACGGTAAGTGTCCCCGGATCGAATTTCGGGCACGGCAGCTTGTCTCAACGGAGACTAGACATTGTTTATTATTTGTTATCTTTTTTTCTAATGAATTTTATGAGTAGATACAAACTCGGAAGCCTTAGAAAATTGATATTTCAAAGAAAACTCCTAATATGGAATAAATATAAAAACATCGTAAAAAAAATCACATCAGCATCTTTTCTCAAAGTAACTTGGGTGTCATCTCGCAACCATAAAAATGCAGCGTATTTAATTTTAGACATAAATACTACTAGCAAAAACGAATATTCAAATATTTGGTATAGGTTATTACGTTTTAAGCATTTAAATAAAATAATAGCACTATGCACCCTTTTTTTGTAGTTTCAAATATGTTATACGGAATTTTATATTGTATTGTATATTTTGTCTTATACTATAACGCAGAATGCTGAAGTTACTTTAAATCTTTATTGGGGGAAATGTTATGAGTAAGATAAAAACCTTAGATTTTCGTTTGCTCAAACGAAACGACTCTCATATCAGGTCATTAAAAATGTATACACGAAAAAGTTTGACTCTCTAACGCATTGATGCTTCATATCTTTGAGAAAATTTATACTAGAGTTATGGGTTCGACGTTTAATAATTCTCTTTTTTGTCCTTTTTGTAAATGTGTATTACTGCATATGTGCAAGAAATCCAATATCGCCATCTACACCTTATGGCCCGTTTAAACTCATCATGCATTCCTTTACAGTCTTTAGGTAATGACATGACGTTTCTTACAGATTAGTACTCCTTTTTTAGTACGGTTCTCGTATTTTTTTTAATTAAATCCTTATAGTATCGCTTAATATTTTTTCAAAACAGTATTCACAGAAATGATAATCTTAAATAGTACTAAAACGAATAATTGTAATCAGTAAAACGCTCCGTTTTACAATTTTCTTTTAAATGTATACAAATGTATATAAATACATAATAAAATGCGTGCAGGAAATTCAATGCGGGTATCTTCAAGGCAAGAGTGAATCGGTTTTTGTTAAGTCAATGCGCTTCCCATCTTAAACTACATTACCATCTACCATAAGATAGGATTGTAGCTATGCGTTAGCTTGGAATAGTAGTAAAAATTTTTCTACTACTTAGTACTAAAATTTATGAAAATCGAGTAGCATTAATCTACTCGATTTTTAGTTCGATTCTAAAGTTTCTAAATGCTACCGTTTACCCTTTCCTATTAATATAATAGCCTCCATCACCTGCTTATGTAATTGCCGTTCTGCGTTACTGATAATTTCAAATTAAAATAATTTTTGTTTGTCAAAGAATTATTACCAATCTAATGCATTTTTTCAATTTTTTTCACTTATTCAATTAATAGAAGTTTACTAAAACCTTTGTTTTTTGTTTTAATGTTTAGTGTGTTGTTTTTTGTTTTATAAACTTATTTTTTTGTATTTCCCCCCTCCCGTTTTATGGGGCACCTACAGGTGACACTGGTCATTTTGCTTTATGTCTTATGAGGTTTTTATCATTATTACAGAGGAATAAAACACTTCTTTTTACTTATTATTTATTAGATTTTTTTTACAAAAATAGTTAAAAACAACAAAGAACTAAATATAACCTATCTTACGCCTATTTGTTTTGGAACATACACCAAAATTATAAATACAAACCGATATTACGTTTACTGCACATTTTCCTAGTGCGTTGATGACAATACCAGCATCTTCACTGTGAACAGTCGACTTGATCGACAAGATCATCTGCAGTTCCTGCGTTCCTCATTTTGTTAGGCACTCTCAATTGCAGAGGGGCGCCGTAAGTTATCACCACAATTCGCTAGATGTCACAGTAGGAGCAGTTATAATCTGACTGTATTTTGATCAGCCATGCATTTTGGCAAGCAGCATATAATCCAAACGCAAAGAGAGGTAACCACATTTTTTTACCCCGAAGAGCTACTCTCATAGAGTTAACGCTTTCGTTAAAACGCTCAATTGCACCCATGTTATACATTTTTACGATTGCTGGGCAATCGACCTGTATTTTGGCCCTTTTATTATCCACAAACCCAATTCGATCCACTTTTGTGATAGGGTCTAATCCATGGCAGTTGGATAAGATGGTCACAATATTGTTGTCATGCCATTTTGCGACAATAATCTTTTCATATGCTTTATGACATAACTTTCCTACGGGTTCTTTCTTCATGTATTTGGAATTTGAAAGTGTGCAGTTCTCCAAACGATTTCCACGAACAGTTCCAGTTCCGCCTATATTCCGCTCTCGCAAATATTTTATCAAAACTGAACCAGTAAAAAATATCAAAATACCAGGTATATGTTCCTTACTCTTGTGGTAGGAATGTACTGTCGCAAAGATGAATATATTGATAAATTTTGAAAACCTATTAAGCCTAATGCAAAATGCTACCAAGTCATTGTGTATGTCACTTTTTACTTACCAGAACATCCTCATATATTTTGGCATCACATATCCTGTTAGTAACAGTGTTGAAATATATAATCTAATTTCCTCCATAGCTACATTCAGATTATGATTTCTTTGTAAGGCATATATATTGGACATCTCTACTATATACTAATCAGTTCGTCACTATAAAGCAACTCAAAACTTTGGACGGGAGTCATTTCCTCCTGTGAGTGAGCAAAAACCTCTTCACCGCGTTCTCCTTTACCACTAGTCGTAAAAGAACCAGTGGTTACATAATCGTGCCATTTTTTACCATATTTTCTTTTTTCTTCGTTCTTTCGAGTAGGCATGGATTCTTCTTCTTCTTTCTCGTCAAGATTTTCTCTGGAAACGGAAGGGCGATTCTGTGCCTTAACTTGAGATCGAAGCATGCGACTAGGAAGATGAACGACATTATCTTCGTTTTCATCAACACTATCTTCAACACTTAACTCACCGTCGTCAAGAGGAAACAAAATTTTATCACCTGGGTCTTCTTCGGCCTGCAACGCCTCGAAAATCCTATCTAACGTCAACCTACAATATGAAAACAAACAATTTGTATAAGCACAGCGATAAGACCAACAATTAAGAAAATTTCGTAAAAACACTAGAATTATATAATATAATGACCAGTGTCAGCAGGTGACACCATACATTTTGGGTGTTATAACAATACCACTTTTTGTTTTTATTATCAATAAATACACGTATATTTTAGGCTCCATATTTATTTTTAAAATTTGATAAAAACATACACAATACTTATAGTTTGGGAATTTTATTTTCACTTTTCTCGCAATAGATCACAAAAACACAATTTGATGATTTTCATCAAATTGCGTTTTTGCACAAACGCACAAAATAAATTTGTGACATTGACAATTGAAGTGTGTTTCCAGATATAAAAATTGTCAAATTGTACTCTTCAACATTACTACTATGCATAATGGTAGAATTGGGGAATAATATTTCCATGTAGCATAAAATAATGATAAAACTTATGTCACCTACAGGTTATACTGGGAATTGAGTAGTTGAAGACATGAAATTATTTTTTCAAAAGTCATTTGTTTTTTGATTAGCTTCATATTTTCATCGCATTTGAATTTTTCTCGCCATCATGGATACGTCAAAAATTCGAGTATGAGTATCGTCGTGGCAACATCAAGGCACAAGTGGCATACAAAATCAATGGCGTTTACGGGCGAATAATATATACAAAAGCACCACCTGCTACTGGTTTGCTCGCTTCTTGAAATTTAAACTTGAAAATAAACCCTGTGTTTATCCGAAAACTTTGGTCGACCATGAAGAATAGAAGGCAATCGTTGAAGCTCACGATACTCACAATCTACGGCCGAATTAGCAGCAGTTTTCGAAGTTAGCATCAAAACAATATTAGCCCATTTGCGTCAAATTGGCAAGCTAAGAAACTAGACAAATGGGTGCCCCATGAACTGAATGATCGGCGGCGCGAAGTACCAGTCGAGGCGTGTCATGCATTGCTCAACAGGCACACAAACGAAGACATTTTGAATAGCATTGTTACTTGCGATGAAAAATAGATTCTGTTTGAAAATCGCAAGTTGGTTGGATCCTGTTTTAGCACCTAAACAATGCCATTAACGAAAAATTTGCCCTATAAAATCTCTGTTTGGTGGTCTAGCGTCGGTGTGATCAATTCGTCATAGTTTCCTACCTAGTGAGATGAGCATTTCTGCAGATGTGTACTGTGAAGAACTGAATACATTGATGGAGAGGCTTTACCGTCACCAATCAGCATTGGTCAATCGCTCGTCGTCGTTGTTTCTACACAACAACACGCGACCTCATACTACACAATGTATAACAACCAGTTTTTTTTCTGCCTGTGAACCTAGCTTACCCAATATTTAAATAAACAAATATTAATTAAAGATAAAAAAAAAAAAAAATTAAAAAAACCCCCCCCCACCCCTAAGAAACACCCCCACCCCAAGGTGGTCTCCAAATTACAAGATCTATGGTTGGAAGCTCTCCATCATTCGCCACACTCAACATACCTTGCGCCTTCATTCTTCTGCTTTTTCTAGGTTTTTTAATTCTTAAATCAAAACGTAACCTCCACGCTAGGATTTTGTTCTGTATCGTTTAGATTACATATATAATTTTCACGCAGACACATATAAAAACCCGGAACAATTATTTGTGGGCAACACAAATACTTAAGTATAAGCTGCCACCATCTGTATTTTCATACGATTACAATGCGGGTTTTTGTAAAGTCGAATCGCTTTACCATTTCTAGCTGCATCACAACTTACCGTTAGTTTGGATAGTAGTTAATTACTGCCTTTATTAACATTTACAAATTAAAAACTGAAAGAGTTTATTTTAAAACATAATTCAGCGGCGAGATATCCCCGTTTCCATTTTACGGTAAAAGTGGTTACACATATTATTACGATGCTAATGTAAATATTTAACGGACTTTCAAAAAGCAAGGTCATATATTCGACACCTATGCTTTTTTAAGTACGTTCATTAAACATAATTCAGGTGTGGTCCCATAACAATATAAAAATGAAAATACATTCTTAAGGGTAGTAAAGTAGGCAACGAATATTTTAATGACTTATTTAAACGACATTCTACTTGTCACTTAAATAGGTAAAACAATTTTTTTACTTAAAATTTGAAGCGACTTCCAAAATTATAAAAATAACAATTTGCATATAATAGATGTCGGAGCTCTCGGGGGCGGAAAATTTAAAACATTTACAATAAGTCAATGCTTTAAATTTTACTGGTATCATAAAAATGGTTCACTATTAAGAAAAATCTCGCATAGCATACCCAAAAACAAACAATTATAAAATTATAATTTCTCTAATTAAGCATAACATATACTTCACCTTAGAAAGTCACTAGGGGGAAGCTTTTATTCATACTGAATGCAAATTTATTTTTTCTGTTTATGAATACAATTTTTTAATTATTGTATTTTCTTTTTGTTCTAGATTTGCCAGTCCCAACATTGAAGTAAGTGTTATGTAGTTGTAGTTTTTTAGTTAATTGAAATAATTTTTTAAATTACATTCGACATCTACATCATTACAGTCTACTGCTGAACATGGGCTTTTCCCAAGGAATGCCATAAAACACGGTCCCGGTCCATCGACTTCCATGTCTTACCAGGTCATCACTCTTTATCTCGTACGTTAAATATTATAACACTTATGAATATCACCTTTGTCCATCACCATCATTAACTGGCTATTTAGTTTATTCCTGGCATTAAAATTTCAAGAGTTCACCAGATCTCAAGCAATAATTGTTAGATTTGCTTAAAATCACCACGCTCTAGAGACTAGTTGCTTAGGTACCAGGTGGTAGGAGTCTTTCACCATCTGGTTGGGTAGCCAGCCAGAGCCGGGTGCAGCCAGTATAATTACAGGCTATGAGGCATTCCATCTTGTTCCTCAGAGGTAAAAAATCATCTGTAGCCTTATTTGTTTGAAGTTGGTTTCAGATATCTATGTAATGCAGTAGCATTTTAGCATAATAAGGCTGTAAGTTCATTTATCATTTCGTTATTTAATTTTTTAAAACCAATTCTACAAAAATGGTTATTTAACTGAATACTTCTTGATATAACTCCTAGAAATTAGATGGTGGCCACCAAGATGCTTCTAAAATATATTTTTTTAATTAATTGTAGATGATTAACATTATACGATAAAAAGCCTAAGGTTTAATTTTCTTAGAGACATCGTATTTTTAAGAATCTACAATAAAAATAAAATAATTAAAGTAAAAGTTATTTTATTCCATTTTGATAATTATATATATCATGGTAAAACTTAACTCTATTTAGCATTTTCGAATAGGAATCATATAGATTGGTGAAAATAATTCAAATATGTTAATTATTGTGAAACTTACTGCTACTCATCCGAAACTTAAGGCATGATATTACTATTGTCTGATAAAGTTATCCATATAATAAATTATAATCTCATCATTACCGCCCTTCACGAGTCCATTGCTGCTCGTAGGCATCCCTCAAGGAATGCCACAAAGCATAGTCCCGAGCCACCTGCATCCATTAAATTCCTGCATATCTTAACAGTTCGTCACTCCATCTAGCGGGGGGTCAATCTGCACTACGCCTATTGGTACGAGGCTGCCACTCGAAAACCTTTTTTCCTCATCGGTTGTTGGTTCTTCGAGGTATATGGCCGGCCCATTGCCACTTCAGGCTATGTCGGTCACTCTGGTTCTAGTGCGGATATCCTCATTTTTATTTTTATTTATTTTTTCTGAGTGTATCACCCAGAGAAATCCCGAGAATAGCCCTCATCATAGTTCGCTGAACGTTCTTAAGCGTCCTCATACCGCCAGCAGTGAAGGACCACGTCTCAGATCCATAAGTCACCACTGGCAATACGCACTGTTTGTACAATTTCGTTTTGATGTTTTGGGGTATACCTGAAAAGAAGATGTGTCGTAATTTTCCGAACGCTGACCACCCGAGTTGATTCCGTTGATTGACCTCTTTGGACTTACCTAATCTCACTATTTGTCCCAGGTAAACGTAGTCGTCAACAACTTAGTGCTTAGTGCTCCCAACAAATACCGGCATAGGTGTGACATGGAAATGAAACATAATCTTTGTTTCGTCCATGTCCATGCCAATCTATCCATTGGGAAACCCCATTGAAGTCATTTAGCATAGTGCTTAGGTGCTTCAGCGATTCTGCCATAAGGACTATATCATGTGCAAATCGAAGAAAAAATTATAACCTGACTGAATATAATAGTGAAAATTTTGAACTATTATTCATACAACTGTAATTTATTTATGTTGTATTTTAAAATTGATTAAGTTTAATCTGTTGATTGAAAAACTGGCTTCTAATAATATATAAAACTTTAGCTGGTAATTTTATTTTAATTTTATTACAAAACAATTCAGTAAAGGACACATTACATTGAGAAAAAAATTAATTTATTGAAAATTATTAACTATACTAGACGGAGTGGCAACCTGTTATGATATGCAGGTAGTTGATGAATGCAGGTGGTACAGGGCTGAATTTTGTAGTATTCTTCAAGTTTTATTTTTAGCAGTGGATTGCAATCTATGTTGTGACAGCAGTAATGATAGTTTCATACCTTTTTCTTAACACAAAATCTCTATGACACTTCAATAATGGATGATATGAATGATGATAATATGATGATAAAATAATTTTTTTACATTTAAAGTACTTCATTAGCATCTATATATTTGTTTTTTTAAAAAGAATATCAACAATGCTATAAACATTACTAGTATTCCCCTTACCACTCGTGTTAAGCTTAAATTGCTTTTGTTACGAGAGGTTCACGCCAGTAGTCGAATGGTGGATTCGAACCCACGACCTTTTTGAGTTCGCAGTCCGCACCCTGCCATTAGGCTACTGTCGCTTAAAAAAAATTTCTAAAATAAATATTCATATTTTCTGTACAAATTAAGATAACTCTTTAATGAATAAATAAGTTCGTGGCAA